CATGCGATGGCTTACATGTCTGTGTTAAACTTCAGTGGCTGCGGGGAGTATACAAGTGCACTGGAGAACATAAGATTTAGTACCACTGCTCAAGAAGGGAAACTATAGAGTGCCCCAATTATCGGAATAATACTTTATTGAGCCTAACGGACAGTCTCCGCAAAGGTGCTAAAAAGGAAATGGCAAACTACAGTAACCGACTTCAAAATGCAATAACTGTAATTGGCTTCCGGCCTGGCTGAAGCACACCTGAACAAGTTCGCCTTACATCAGACTATTGAGAATTCGTTGGTGCTCGTTGATCCAGTGTATATGTGCTCTGTGGATTTCGAGAAAGCCAATGGCTGGATCTCGCGCAACAGTCTATGGGCATTCTTGTGAAGTATGGGATCGCTGGCCAGTTACTCCAGCCCACCAAGTCACCATATGCTGATTGCAGGTGTTGCATTAAAATGGCGCTAAGTCGAGTCTTTCAGCGTTGGCACTGGCACCTACCAAGGCTGCGTTCTGTCCCCCCTCCTGTTTGTGCTGTAAATGGATAACATACTCAGGCACAGCCAGGGCGAGGAGGCGTCAGCCTAGTAGCTGTCGAGATGAGCTTGCTGCTTGCAGACGAGTCCGTGTTACTGTCACCCTCTGAAATTGATCTACAGTGCTCTCTGAAAAGTTCGCAGTCAAGTGCGACGTGGCCGTTATGCGTGTGAACACATCTAAAACGAATAGCAGAATACTTTCTTGTTCTCCTGCTAGTCAATCTCTTCAGATAAATGGAGAAGTAGTGGAGGAGGTGGAGAATTTCCAGTACCTACGATTGGTGTTTACTGGTGATGGAAACTTGAGGAAGAGATCGATCGGTCGATTGGTGTAGCCAGTGGCGCATATCATGAATTAGCCCGAACGGTTTGACTGAACGTCAGCTGAGTCTGAAGACTGAGCTTTTGGTTTTCAAGTGGATCTTCATCCCAATTCTTACTCATGGTCATGAGTGATGCGTCAGGAATGAAAAAATTCGATCCCGGATACAAGCGGTTGAAATAGCATTTCTAAAACTCTTCGCTTGTCTTACGTGCCTCTACGAGAAATCCAAGAAAAGATTTTGTGTACAGCCACTAGTCCTTCAGATTGAGAAGTCAGAACGTGGCTTGGGTATAAGTTGCGAATGCATCCAGAAAGGAAGGCGAAGCAATTATTTTTTGCCCAACCGACCGGCAGAAGGCCTAAGGAACGGCCAAGTTTAACTTGGTGCAAATATTTGCAAAGAGTCTGTTCCAGACTCTGACGAGTCTGAGACACCGGCACAGGATCAGGACCGTTAGAAGTAGTCTGTCTAGTACGCCACCGCGACCTGGAAGGAGAAACAATCATTGAAATTGAATTGAAATAATGCGAATAAATAATGTCAAATATGGGATAACGTGTACAAAGTCAGCATAGGAGTCTGGTGGAAGTTTTTTTTGCCAGGATGCGTCTGAAGATAGGTGCGCGCGGTAGAGCTCCTCTGAGGATCCGTAACTTTCGTTTAGTTAGACACAGGTGCTTTTCGTATTTCTCCTCATATATATTATGTGGCTGAACTGCTTCCGTTTCCCATGGGGTCGAAATTATGCAATAGGGATAAAAACAAAGGTACACTGCGCCTATTAGTGCTTTCTAGTCACATATATCTGATTCATGATGGCGGTAATTGATGCAGCCACAGTCAAAGGCTGGCTATCACCGAAACGATTGATGAGAATGCCGTTCCATAATGTAATTCGCGTCGAAGCTAATGGGATAATACGCGTTGTTTTTGACTGTTTTTCGAAAAGTTTCATTACACTCATTCGGATCTTTGACAGTTGCTTTCAGGCAGCTGTTGATCTTCCTTCAACACGTAAAACGAATGTTTTATGTCCTGTCAAATGGGTCATGCGCCACCACTGACAACGACGTACAGTATATAATAATACGCAAATGTTAGTGTAACCTTTGTTCCGTATTCTGAAGAAAATATGTGACACCAAGAATATGCAGAAACATCTGCAACAGTTTATTACCAAAGATTAACACTGTTGGAACACGTCAAGTTTTGACGTATCTTAAAAACACCCACTGCGACTACTAAAATTATCGCTGTTCAAGCGTAAGACGACACAATACCACAACGGAAGACAATGATAACCTTATCATGTCAGTCATTTAATCACTTTACAGCTTGTAACCGTCGTAAAAAACACTGGCATTTCAGAGCACAGAGAACATCACAGCTAACATTAACCGCTACATAATGGGCTGACAAATAAATTTGGACATTATAAATGCCGAGAACTGACCGGCTGTTGGTGGATAATACAGTTAGCAATCGAATGGTATTTTACTACATGTATTTAAAAGCTATCTGTCAACTGGCTTTGAAACTTTTAACGCTTGCTGCGTTGAGAAACTTTCTCTTGCGAATGTCGAGTTTGCGCATATTCCACGCTAACATTACATTATCCCCTTTGTACGATGAAAGGAGCCAAAACGGCAAGAAGGCTATGATCAAACGTATATTTGTTAAAGAAGAGTATCTGAAGACCGAAAAACGTAAAACATACACATCCAAGATGTTATAAACAAATATTGTGAAGTAGCTTCTTACTACATATATGATAATACACTTCTAAATAAAATGCACATAATAATAGTATTGGCCTTCGCATATTACCATCCTTTGTGGGAAAGAAAAATGTTGCCTATCTAATATAACCAGGCGATCAGACGATCGCAAAATAAACTGCCGCTAGACAATAGCAAACTGAAACACGTATGAAAGAATATAAATTTTGTAGATTAAACAAAAAAACTAGACTTTACTACTTAAATGGATGATGCAGATTCCTTGGAGGAATTTTCTGAAACATCTCTTGAGTATCCTGGACCCTCAAAAAACCCACATTATAGCAATAAAAAAATCAAAGAAACTTAAGCAAACTGACTTTTACATATTGGAGCATAATTTAGAGCTGCTGTACGTCCTACGATGTATTAACCGCTGGTTTATAACTCAAAAAGCCAGAGGCGCTCTCCTACTGCAATGAATTCTAGCAAAATCTTGATTAATGCTCGTGAGCAACGCACTTCTACACCAGGGTCAACAGATCAGTGTATGTTAAATCGACAGTAAGAGAATTCGTGATTTGCAGTCCCACTTTAAAGCGTGAATGTTCATCATGCTTCATCTCAGAGAGTTGTTAGTAACGGATCTACATGGCGTGTAAGATTACATGATCCAAGCCCGTGCCGCCAAAAGCTAGACATTCAGCAGTGCATATTGAAGAATTCAACAACTACCATGCAGTGTGGAATGACAAACAGAGAAGAGATGAATGACTGTCATGATGCAGAAGAAATCCTTATCTCATGAAATCTCATCCTCTACGAAAAACCAAACAAACCTCTGACTTATCGCTTGTGACGCTACAAAGCCAAAGTACATTAAGAGGGACAGCATTTGACGGATTCCAGCAGTCATTCCTGGACAACCTTTAAATTTAAATTCGCGCGCGACGCCGCTCCCTTAGCCAAAACGCTCATCAGCACCCTTATCAAGAAAGATGCGAAAATGGACAGATTATACATACCCTATTTGATTGGAAAACTTCTGAAACTAGCAAGACATAAGGTCAAAAACTACTGAGCTGGACTTCCCCTATTTCAACCCAAAATCTGGCCTTTCATCTGCTCGTCTACCAAACGAAAGCTGTAGAATATAGCTGAATTTATTTGTCATCTGAATAGTATGTAACTGAAGAAATGTGGCAAAGAGAAGCAGGACGTTAAAGTAGATTATAAAGCTTAAAAAAGGCATTTGTCTTCAGAAATGCACTTCCGTTCAGAGGAGTTCGAAACTGTTACATAAATAAAATATAATAATCACTGGTCGAGATAGTTCGTCTCCAATTAGTAAAGCATCTTGAACCGCAAGTTAGAAATATATAGCCGCTGCGTAAATCCTTTTGAAAAAATCAGTATCAGCCGCAGGAAGATTGCAGGTGGGCTGAAAATTTATCGATAATTCCTTTGCTCTTGAATATTTAAGAACATTTGCCCATAGAATCTTCCATAACGAAAGAACCATCGCATGACAACCCGTTCCATCGCCCTTTGAATCACTGAACAGTTTTAGAACCGTCTCTGTAGACTGGTGACGACGTACAATTTGAAATTACGGCAGAGTTTATTTGCCATCACAGACATTGGCGCAAACAGGCTATCCCACGCAACGTTTAACATTTTACTTTGCGCTCCAGCAGGCTTGTTGTCAGTAAGAGATTCTCTCAAAAAGCTTTGGACAGAGATTTCATGCGTTCTTTAGGTCGTCTTATCAAACAAGGCGAGGTCCTGAACTAACGGGTTTTCTGAGTTTTTTGTTAACATCTGCTGATGGGGCATCAGTGCCACAAACGCAGGAAAACACTGTCCTAATGCGACTAACAACAATTTCAAAGAATCCTTAACATAAGTATTTCTGCATTATGCAATCAGCGCAGTTTCAAAAAGTGGTGTTTTATATAAAACCAGTTTAAAGTGAGTTAAATCAATGTTGTCAGAATTATAACCTTTTTTATACCAAATTAAATACCAGCGAACGTCATTAAACAGTGGAATACAATGGAACATACGGGAAAATACATGTAAACCGACATGAATGAACATATTTGATATTCGGACAAGCTTTAATGAAAGTTCAATAGGTCAGCATAAATTAAATAAAATTTACAATCCATAACAGTAATCGAATAATAACAATAATAGACATATAATCACCTTCAGCACGATTCAGGCTCACTAGAGGAGCAAAGTTGTCTGTGATGATGTACTCAGATGCTTCAAATTAGTGAAAGGCAGACTGAGCTAGAATCGTAGTCAAATACTGCTTTATCCGTGGCAACATCGGCTTAAGTCATGTGTGATTCAACAGGTTCCCTAAATATAAATCCGGCACCGAGACCAAAGCCTTGTCTAAGGCTTTCTCAACACTACAACGCAACTTGCGTCGAAGTTTGTTCATGCACAGGCAGAGCATGTGCTTCGCTGTTAAACACCCATTTATCCAGTGGCAATACTGTATCCGTAGAGAAAATGAGGTACAAATACTTAAGAGTTTCGGCAAGAAAAAAGCTTTCTTGTACATCGTTTTTGATTGGATTAGAGTTATAGACGTCGTTGATGCCGGAATAACCTGCTTCAGCCTTGCAGTACTTTTCAAGAGCCTAAAAAGCCAATATAAGATCTAAACTGAACCACAACGCTGGATTTCTACCAGGACCACATCCCACGCCCACTCTCGATAGTTCAGTATATTCGTCAATCGCCACAAGTAGAAAAACGACTCGACGGTTTCCGGCCGTAGTATGTAATATCGATCGTTGGAGTTCGTTTGTGCTTCTAGATCATCCGTAAAACGAAAGATTTCAGGGCCAAGGTGTGTTACTGAAACAAAAAAATGTCTGTTCAATATATAAAGTAAATAGTATAGAAAATCATTATTCGAGCGTTGTTACCTTGACATAAACATTAGAGTCAACTGAAGAAAGTCAGTAAGAAAAAGGAAAGTTTTTAGCACTGTGATACGAACATCTCTGAGAACTCCTTATCAGCGACATATGTGAAACACTATGAAACACTGAAGAGTCAGAAAACAGTAATGGTGTATTAGGCTTATAAAAGATGTATACAGAATTGCCTATACAAGCAAATACATCCAGACTGATGGGATCGGAGCTCAGACCACCACATACTACCTGTAAACAGTAAATGGCGTACATAAAAGAGGCAAAAAACAATATTCAAACGTGTTTAACGTTTTCAGGTGGAACATATGACCGACGTTTCAACGCCA